GTAATCAAGGACCCTGGGCAACAGGCTGGACTGGCCAAACCCCACAAGTATGCCTGGCCAGTGCCGTCGCTGGCGGCCAGGTGGAGCTACTGAAATTAAAACTTCCAAGTTTCATTTCATTTTTATTTTGTCTGCATTTTACTAGCCATAGTTCAGCTACCTGACAGTCACAGGCAGCTAGTGACTTCAGGAACTGACCCGCGCAGAACAGACAATGTCCCCAGCACCTCTGAGAGCTCACTGGACAGCACTGCCCTGGAGGAAGGATGTGCTTTCATTACCCCAAGAACTCCTTTATTACAAACGCTTGCAGACAGTCCCCAGCGTGCGACTTACCACACGCAGGCCCAGCTCCTCCCAGCAGACTGAAGCCAAAGGGAGAAGGAAGCTGCCTCCCCTGTGGGATCGTGCGTGGAGTCCCGGGCCAGACACTCGGTAAGAAAACCCTGCAGAACTCGGGGCCCCAGGAAAGAAGGGTGACTCAGCCCCTAAGATTCACTGGGAGAATAAGGATCAAGTTCACAGTAACAGCTCTGAGGATGAAAGAGAAGTCCACTGATTTCGAACGCGGCGCCTGGGGCGCTGGCAGGCGTAATATACTTGTGGAGCTGGTGCTCAGAACGCCGTGCGAGGTGCTCAACCCTGTACTTTAGCGGATAAGGAGCCCAGGCGGCCACCAGGTCTTTAAATCCTACATTTGCACAGGAGTCAAAAGAAAGATTTTGTTACAATGGGAGACCCAGCTTTTGATTCCGCAGGACAATGTTTCCGTGTGTGAATGTGAAGTAGAAACAATGCCCTGATAGGACGTGATCACACCGGACGCAAAAACACACAAAGAATATAAAGGCTCCGGAATGCGGGGCCGAGGTCCTCGGGTGCTGCCTGTAGCCAAACGGCAGTGGCAGCCCGGAGGATGGGGAACAAGACATGATGGACGTCACAACCCACAGAATTTCCACGGGGCTCACGTCACAAGCACCGTGAGATCTGTGTGCCTCGTCGTCAAACCTGTGGGGAAGCAGGTGCTGAGGCCTCCTGACCCGGCTGAAGACCAGACCTCCGTCTGACGCTGGGGTCACAGAGGTGTCACTCAACCGGTCCCTCTCTGGAGCCCTTTTTGCTCCTAAGCTGCTGGACTGGAGACATTGAACTCGGGGGCAAGTTCTGCCCCCAGAACAACTGGAGGAGAGCGAGAATTGCCAATTCATCTCCCAAGGCATTCAGCTAACAAGCTTGCCTTTCTATTCAAAGAGCAGGATTTTTTGTTTATCACTGCTTTTAGAGAGGTAAGGAGGAAGGAAGGGAGTAAGAGAAGTATCAGTGCAAAACAGAAGCATCAGTTGGTTGCCTCCCGTAGGCAACTTGACCTGGGATCAAACCTGTGACCTTTTGGTTAGGAGACGACGCTCTAACCAACTGAGACACACTGGCCAGGGTACAAAGTGCTGGGTTATGGAGAAAGGGGAAGTGAATGCAGGAACAATTAGAGTAGCTCTTGTTTTCTCAAACGACAAAAGCTGGTTGTACTATGTAAAATAAATAAAACAGACCGTGGGGTTATATATTTTTTAACAAGGAACGATGACAAATTAAAACCCTTCAATCACGAGGAAAGTTGACATTTTCTTCCAGAAGACCAGACTTTTAGGTTCGGAAACTAGACCACAGTTGAGAGGTCAAGCTTTCAGAAACCAGGAAATTCCAAAGCAAGCCTATAGCAGCGTGAACTCAGACCCGTGACACATGATAACTATTTTACGGTCCGTGTTCAACAAACAGCCAGGAGATGGGAGGGAGAAAAAAGTTCCACATATTTAACATGGCAGAATAAATGCCACAGCAGACAGAAGAATTTCAAGACAGTCTGAACACTACTCTGAGAATTCACGTTCCATTAATCCGCACTTTGCGCTCTGTTTTCCTTTTTAAAAATTTTGAGACCACAAAGCCATCCCAGTTGAAAAAAATACTTGTGTGAAATGCTGTGTACATCATAATTCTATGAACTCAAGAAGTGATCCCTCTCTTTTGACAATTTTCTAAAAATCTCATGAAATAAATTCTTATTTTCCTCAACTCGAGACCTCGATTTTCTATCTCTGGAGCTTAGAAATACTCACATACTTCTCTTCCAGTATGGCCGGACTTTTCTTTCTGGATGGAAACAGCACTCCTGCCAACTTGAAAATTTATAGCTACTACTGTTATTTTTTTTTAATTTTTAAAAGCAAAAAATATATACCACAACACCTCAAAGTAATTTTGAAACAAACATCTGTCATAATTGTGCACGTCACACTGAAATGTACTCCAACTCAGCGTGCAAATGGAAAGAACATCTACCTCCAGGTCTGGGTGCAAAACATCACGTTTGGAGATAATGCTGATGTCTAAAACTATCCCGGTGGCAGGCACACTCCAATCATGGAAAATTTCACAACAAAGTAAAATGGTGCATCTAGTAAGCAAATTCCTCTGTGTCTGTGTGACTGTGCACGTGTGTCTGTGTGAGTGTGTGTCTGTGCCTGTGTCTATCTCTGTGTCTGTGTGAGCGTGTATGTGTGTGCCTCTGTGTCTGTGTGTCTCTGCGTGTGTAAGTGTGCCTGTATGTATGAGCATGGGTGGCACTTTCTCACTTTACAGACTTCACTACCGATCTCAAAAGCAGATTCATAACACGGCACTAATGGGATCTCCCGACCACCCTGAAAGGTATACAGTCGGAGACTATTTATTATTGCGTGCAGCAGAGCTGCAGACTGAGCTGCAGACAGGCTAAGCAATGTGGTAAAGCCCAAAGCCCATCAGTGCAAACCCTGGAAAACTAACCCGACTGCCGACCCCCAGACCAGCCCTTCCTGAGGAAATTCAGGTGCTTAGATGCACCTTGATGTGAAATGTGCAAAAGCTGCCAGGTTTCTAAAGTGGTTTGAACATTGCCACTTTTTTCTCCCCAAAAGCGTGGCCGTTCACGGTCTGAGCTGGGGCGGTCCCCTGGGTTACAGGGATGGAGCCAAAGGCTGCACTGGAAAATATTTCCATTTGCCACGTTACACGCCTTCGAAAACTCCGTCAATACAATGCCGTGGCCCAACAGCTTCTGAGGCAGAAACTGCTGGAATTTGCTGGGGAGAGTAAACTGGATCGTGTATCCTTAAAAAGAAATAAAACAATAACCAAGGGAAAAAGTGTTTCGAGCTGAGGCTAGGGTAAAATTCAAACTGTAACAATGGTTACAAAACATGTTTGAAACTTGAACTTCCCCAAACCGATTATGGCTCTCCCTGCGTTTTCTGCGCGGCTCAGGGGACCACACCGGGGCAGCGTGGCAACGCCCCTTCCATGTTACGGCGTTGAGTTTGCGTCTGCCTCTAAATGCCCTTTGTCATCAGTGAAAATCATCCTTAAAGGCAGCATTCCTGTTCTTTAAAATGACTCAAGGATTTGTTTGCCTTTGAAATTCCTCCAGGAAGCAAGTGAAGGGAATGAAGACTGTGTCAACTTACAATGTCACATGTGTTTCTCTGTATTTTTCAATCATTAGGCAAACTCCTAAAAGACAAAAATGATTTTTTTTCTTTCTTCTTCTTGTACTTTCCCCCCAAGAGCAGAGTGTGGCACGGGCCACACAGAGGTCCCGGACGGTGCCAGAAACCAGGCAGAAACTCTCGGGTCCCCCTTCCAGGCCCAGGGACGAGGAGACATCTCACAGTCTGGGTTTCCTCCCACTGGTGACTGGGAGGAAATGAGCAGCACAGACGGAGGGGCCCACGGGAGCTGCAGGGAGGGCGTGGGTCTGTGAGAAATGCCTGTGGAGCAAACACTTGCCTGGAAGCTGGAGCAGACCGTGTGGCTGGAGATACCACTGACCACAGGGACACACCCAACACTGCGTTCCAACATCGCCCATCCATCACAGACGGAAGACCCCGGAGCAGAAACTCGTCTGCTGCACCCTGGCTTCCAAATCTGCAGATGGCGCTGGGGAGGCCGTCACCGCTCCAGCCGGTCTGCAGCCAGGGCACCCTTTCCTGTCCCGGAGCCAGGCCTCTCCTCCCCCACACACGTCTGTCTGTTGGTTCCTCAGGCTGGGGCTGAGTTTTGATCACATGATTTACATCCAGCTTCTCCTAAGTCCGTTTGTAACTCATTGGTTTTGCACTTGGTGGTGTTTTGTTTTTCTTTTGTCCCTGTTCTTGATGAATACCCAGTCCAGTAACAGGACACAGGGCCCCACTATTTTTTATCTTAAGAGACTGTATTTCATACACTCGAAGTTGGGAGCATCTGCATGCTGCCAATATATTTCACAGTTAGAATCAAAACTCGTGAAAGGCAAACAAAAACTGCTCTTGGGCAGAAAAAATGGTAAACTCGGGGTCCTAAAAATGCCACAAGTGAGTAAGTGGCCCTGAATAACTAAATACAATGTCTACCTAATGATATCTGCAAATGTAGTGCTATAATAATAGAAAATAACAAAATGCACTTACAATGCAATAGCAAGTGGAGACAAGTTTATCCAAGATATATATTATAGAAAAGAGAATGTTCATCCAAAAAGATCACATTCAAGTTCGCCAAGGACAGTTTTATAAAAAAAAAAAAATAGGCCTCTGTATTTGAACTTGGGGATGTATCCCGTGAACTGCACTTGCTAATTCCAGATTCTGTGGGAAACTGTTCCCAAACACATCTGAAACGTGCATCTGTTACTGCTTATCTATGGGAGTCCAGTATAAACTGCAGATCACCATCCAAAAACAATGAGTGTCGGAGAGACACATGTGACTTCACAGGTTGCACAACAAGGGAGCCAACAACTTTCTGGAGAGCGCATGGCCCATGGCCGTGACCGCCTCCTCTACGGGTCGGCTCAGAGTTAACCTTGACCCAGAAGGCCCTCACAAGGGGTGGTGGGGCTGCGGACGTGCACGGTGTGTGTTCTAGACAAAGCGGCAGGGGGTGAGCACGCGGCAATCCAGTATTCCACCTACTTGGCAAAGCCGATGAAATCCTCGTGGTTGGTGTTGATGTAGGAGACCTGGATGTCAATCAACAGCAGCACCTGTGGGGCGAAACGAAACACACCGGTGAAGCCCGTCTTCAACATTTGCAAACACTCAGGTGAGCAACTGTCTACAGGTTGTCTTCATTGACGTTTTAAAGGGTGCTTCAGGTTGCATGAAAAGGTACATTCATTTGGTTTTTTTCGTGAGGCTCATCATTTTTACTCTAAATTTAGAGACTGAACATCTAAGGGAGAAGTCTGATTCCCACGAGAGGACGATAGCACTCCAGTTGCTGAGGTACGCACATGCTCTTGGCCAACTACACACAGAACCTAGAATTATTCTGTTCCTCCGAAATGCAGGCACGATGTTCAAAAGCAGGATGTGCGGGCAAGGAGGCCAGTGCGGGGCTGCTTGGAGCTTCCTGCTCCCACGGACACCATCCAATAGCCACAAATCAGCAACTTCATCCCCTGTTTTTTCTCTCCTCTTCCCTCTCGTTAAGGTCCCTCTAGGCAAGCCGGGGCTCATCTCACTGACCAACTCAAAAGGGCAAGCTACAAATAAACGGACAGCCTTCCTGGGGGGCACGAAGCTTCATTATCCAAGGGAAAGCACAGTTTTCTGCCGAAAGGCTGCCTTATCGGGGGACCCTCCCTGCCCATTCTGTCTCAGTCAGCACCCTTCTTGTCCTCGGTGCTGGGACTCTAACTCTCTTTCCTTTGTGGCACTACCGCTAGCTGACACAGTACATTTTTACCAGTCGATTACACAGATGCCGCCTGCTGCAGCCACTTAGATGTCCCAGGGCCTGGAACAGGGCTCGGAGCAACGTGTGGCTCCAACCAAGATCTGTCAAGGCATGAACTGAACACATGTGCCGGTCAACATGAACAGGCATTGATCGCAAAATACATATAAACTCCGAGTCCGAGACCTGGACAGCCCTTCTGCAGAAAAGAGTCGTCGCTGGCAGACAAGGAGACTTAGAACAAGAAGAGAGTGGGACACCCAGGGACTGCGAGAAACAGAGCTTTCTTCTGCAGTTATTCAGAACCGAGACCCCCTTCCCAAGTCTCCCCTATTCCCCCAACACGGACCCCTGTCTTTCTACAGTGCTGAGACCTACTGACGGGGGAAAACTACTTGAGATTCCCTGCCTGTGCACCCCCAGAGCTCTGCGCCTCGACTTTGTTGACTGAGTTCTCAATGGCCACATATTGCCACACTGCCTCCCACCACTGCGGGGGGCACTCATGCGAACAGTTCACTGCCTGGGTCTCTCTGTCGCGCTGCCGTGGGCGCTTTCTCAGGGAGACTCCACCCGTGACCCTCACCCACACCCCGCTGGATCACGGTACGACTCTCGTGGAGCCTGCACGTCATATCTGACACATACTGTGCCCTGTCCTCTGCATTTGTTCTGTTTATCACCAATATAACCAATCATCTGTCTATTCTGTTTGCTGTTCTGCTTCCCCGCAGGGCGGCCCGCCTCGTGGAGGCAGGGGTTCCATTTGTCTCGTTCACCGTTCTATTCCCAGAACCTAGCACAACACACACGGTAGGTGTCCAAGAAACACTTGTGGCTACAGATTTGGCAACTGTCTCCCAGCTTGGAAGAACAGGCGCTTTTCAGGTGCACAACTTATTCCCATGGAATTAGTACGAGGCTTGCTGTGTCTCACTCCCTACCCAGTGCCCTGGGCCCTGGAGCTCTGCTTTTGAGGGGGTCCGGCTGGTCACCCCACCAGATCTTGCTCTGAGTCCCAAGAGGACCTGCCGAAGAAGAACAGAAGGATCCCCCCAAACCATCCTCACCACCAAACAAAGTCAAGGCACAGGCACTACTGGGCCCATAACATCACATCTGTAGTAAGAAGTTTCACAGCATGAGATACAGTTTTGTTTCTCGTCTTAATGAAGAAAACCGGAGTGTTAGAAAGAATAATCATTATGGGATTGTCCATGCTATTATCTCCATTCTCCCGGCAACAAAGCCAGACTCTGTTAAACGTTAAACTCCCAAATCCATTTTGGCCAGCAGTCTGCATGAATAAGCCATGATACTGCAGCATAAGAAAATTGTTACCACTGTAAAGAGCAAAACATCTACATAATCCTCAGCCTCGCCAAGAGCTGTCCCGGACGTCTTGGACGCTCTTGCACATGGACTTGGCCTGCAGCACAGGAAAACAGAACAACCGTGGCTGTTCTCATTCAGATTCCTGGAAACTGGGAGTCTGTGTCCATCCCAGGAAGAGAGCCAAGTCACATATGGGGGATGAAAAGGAAAAGAGTGCATTTTTTCCTCATTTTTTCACTTTCCCAGCGTCGCCCCCTGCCTTTTCCGCCCGCAGCTATTGACCGTTGGGTTGAGGAGGCGCAGAGCCCCCGGCAGCCGCCCTCGCCCACCAAGCCGACCGCGGCGGCCGTCGCTGTGTGTGTGTGGGGGGGCACCTGGCACGCTTGCAGGCACGCACACACACTCAAAAGGCCTTTGTTTCAGAAAAGACTCACGGGCAGATTTATGGGCTTCCATATTTTTAATTTTTGAATAATTTTTCTTCCCACAAAGCTTCCAGGGCAGAAGTTGGTAATAATCGTATTTTTTTAAAAAATAACAAAACTGCAAAAACACCTCAAACAGTTCTGGCACAGAGGCCTGAGCACAGTGCTCACTGCGGCCAGTAACTTCAGAAGTAGCGTGTGACCCCAGGGGCCCGGAGGACAGAGCTCAGAACCCAGATGTGACATCTGGGCAAATGGCTGTGTCCCCTCGGCCACAGGGGTCCGTGTCAGAAGAGGCGAGGACCAGCTCCCTCAGGCCCCCAGAGTAGCTCACTCAGGAGGGCACACCCACCCCACCCCCGGGCCCCCTCTCAGGGCGTTAGTTCACCAGCGCATCACAGTTGCATATGAAAGGCCACTTCCCGTGAACTGAGAAAGCGATTCTTCCTCAGACCGACCGTGTGCTGTAGCACTTTGGGGAACGCCACCGACATGGATGATGAGCTACAGCCAGGTCTGCACCCCTTCCTTCCATCCTCACCAAATGCCTGCCAGTCAAGTACCACCGTCATCCCACTTGAAGACGAGGAAGCTGAAGTGTGAAGATGCCAACTGGCTTGTGCATTTACACAGAAAGTAAACGGGCGGCTGGGTTCAAACTCAGGCCACGGGGACCGGGAGCCCACAACCCTAAGGACGACGCCATGAAAGATGGAGACGCTGACAACTCACGTAAGTAGCAACACAAAGATGATGGTACTGCTTTGCCCACAACATTGATTTCTTAGGAAAGAGCTAAGTAGGATATATCACCGTTCAAATTTTCCAGCATAAAGGCACTAACCTAAAGTGATCACCTTCTTTACTTAAGGTCAGGAGTGCAGCCAACACTGGAAGGTACGTTTCCTTGGTCCAGCCGCAGCTCAACTGCACTGGCTCCTGAGTTAACACTGATTTGTTTGTTCCTGCTTTCCAACCCGTGCCCTCCAAGGGCGTGAAAGGTGGAAACCAGGTGGAAACTATGGCTCACTGATGTTCAAAGCACGGGGAGAAAGAGGAGTGGCATGAACCCCGTGGCTCAGGCACACAGCTGGGTGCCACTGGCGTCACTTAGCAACCGCCCAGAGCAGGGGGCCTCCTGCGCAGCTCTCCGCCTGGTCCCCCCAACCCCGCCCTCTCGCCTCAGCCCTGCACGCCCTCGGCTACTTGTGCACAGCTCTCCCTGGGGTCTGTGTGCCTCTCGCTTCTCCTCTGCCTTCCTCCTCTTCCCCGTCCTCTCTCTCCTCCTTCCCAAGTCACCCGAGCACCACGGAATCTTGAATCCTAACTTCTAGAGGACTTCAGAGATGCCCACCCAGGCCAGCGTGCCAGTGTCATCCTGAGAAAACCACAGTCAGAGAGCGACCGGCCAGGACGTGCTGTGGCTGTGGGGGACCTGAGGGCAGGGTCCCCTCCCTGCTGTCACACTGAAAATATTCTTGAAAATATTCTTTTGGATTCGCAGAGGACTGGAAGGTAATTTCAAGGTTACTCTTTACGAACCATATACGTTTACAAAATAGTGTGCAATGTGTAAAAGAGCTGCTCTTAACAGTTTTTCTTTTTTGGTGCAAGGTTCCTGGGTCAGCTGGCGAATAGCTTTGCCCACTGTCCTCAAAAAAAGAAAATCAGAACACTGAACTTGGTGCATAGGGTGTCAGGAGTTTACGACTACCCTGGCACCCACCTGTGGGCCCATTAAGAGTTTTTTTAAAACCCTGTCTTAAAGAAACAATGTGCCATATTTCTGGATTAGTGGTTTTCAAAGCAGGCTGAGTACATGCCAGGGGTACACACGAGGATCGATGGGGCGCCGAGGAAAAATAATGGAACTCCCTCCACTGCGTTTTAAATCACATCCTTCCCAAGACTCTGTGATTTGTTTATATTCTTAACATACCCGACATGTTACTATAGCAACCCATGAATGAAATGTATACATGAGTGAAAATAAACACTGGCGCTTGTGTTCTCAGCCACTTCTTTGCCCCGGGGGACGGCCGAGAGCTGCAGACCACCAGGCCGCCCGGGAGGCCTGTCCTCACCTGGTCCTTGGTCTTCCCTTCCCGCTCTCGGATGTGGTTAGCCACGATCCTCTCCGTCTCCTCGCAGAGTCGGGGGAAGTTCGCCAGCTGTCGGGAGAAACAGACCCGAGTGTGAGTACAGAAAGGGGCAGAGTTAAAGGACGATGTTCCATAGAAGGTACGTATGCGTGACAATCCCACAGGCAGGAGTGGGTATTCCAAAGAACAGCTGAGTGAGAGAAGAGGCACCACCGTGAGCTGAAGTCAGAGGAAACCAGCAGGGGACGTCCCTCCAAAGAAGCCGGAAAATGGACACCAGGCAGCACTGTGCTCTCCAAAGCCAGCACTCCCTCCAGGACAGAGGTGAGGAAGACGGGACGAGCGTGAAGTGACAGCCACGATGGTTTCAGGCTGTGGGCCAGGGGCCTCATGAAATAACCTCATTCAAAAACCACAACGGTCAAAAAATACAGATCCTATGATTCACCCGTTTTGTAGAGGAGAAGAGCAAAGCACAGAGAGGTTAAGGAACTTGCCCAGGGCTAAACAGCTCAGACTGGGTGGGTCCAGGATTCCAACCCAAGCCCTTGAACTCTGGAGCCCAGGGTCTCATCTGTCAGCCTATGATGGCGATTCACTGCGTGAACCACAGAGATCATTCATTTTTAATTCTCCGCCCGCAGATGTGTTTGTGCACACTGGGGGACAGTGAGCAGTGACAAAGCAGGGAACTGGGACAGTGAGCGGGAAAGAAGTAAAAGGCCAGCACAGACCAGGAGGAGGATGGGCTTTGTAACTGCTGGCTCTGTACTGCACTGCTCCCGTCCAGGTCCTCGTAATACCTCCCAGAACGTCCTGCTGACAGTCAGAGCAATTCCTCATTCAACTTCCTGCCACTCGCTTCCTTAGCTCAGTGGGCACAACCCCGACTTAGTTCTAAAACGCACTTGACCCTGACTGCTCATTCCTTCCCTCGCCTCTCCTCTATGGCTCTTACTAAAGGTGCAGTCAGTGTCCTCAACTTCATTCATTCTAATTTTTAAGAACCTCTTTGGCTCTGGATGAGCAATGGGAAGCCGGCAGTTGTAAAAATGTGTTTACAAAGTATCAGCATTCTAGTCATGTGCACCAAAGTACGGATGTAGAAGATGCCGTCTCTAGACCTTTGGTCCCCTATTAATTATCTAAATGTTCTGGTCAGTTGATTTATACAGGACCGAGGAATCGAGGCTTTACTACGGGCAATAATCACTTTATGTTTCTAACTTTATTCCACCTCAGTCAGCCACTGAACAAACCCTCCCCGGGCCCCGGGTGTATGTAGGCTGACTGCACGCTCAGGGTGTGTCCAAGCAGCTGGGTTAACAGCCTTACCGTCTGCAGTGGCAGGTGGACTGCACAGACACAGTGGAATGCAGAAAACAAATATTTTATAAAAGGCAAAAAAGGTTCCTAAGAAAACAAAAAAGGAATATGCCTTTTGACCCAGCAATTCCACTGCTAGGATGATATCCTAAGAACCCTGAAACACCAATCCAAAAGAACCTATGCACCCCAATGTTCATAGCAGCACAATTTACAATAGCCAAGAGCTGGAAGCAACCTAGGTGCCCATCAGTAAATGAATGGATCCAAAAACTATGGTCCATTTACACAACGGAATTCTATGCAGCAGAAAGAAAGAAGGAGCTCCTACCCTTTGTGACAGCATGGATGGAACTAGAGAGCATTATGCTGAGTGAAATAAGCCAGGTGGTGAAAGACAAATACCATATGATCTCACCTTTAACAGGAACCTAATCAACAAAACAAACAAGCAAGCAAAATATAACCAAGGACACTGAAATAGAGAACAGGCGGACAGTGACCAGAGGGGAGAGGGGAGGGAATTTCAGGGGAAAAGGGGAAGGGTTTGCAGGAACAAGTATGAAGGACACATGGACAAAAACTATGGGGGGTGGAAATGGGAGGGAGGTGGGGAGCACTTGGGGGGTGGGCTGGGATGGGAGTAAAAGAGAGAAAACTGTACTTGAACACCAATTAAATAAATAAAATTTTTTTAAAAAGCGAAAAATGGCCAAAGGCGCTGTGACGAGGCCTCAGAGGACTTCTTGTCTCGATGGTGACAGGAGTCCCCAATGCTGGACATCTATCAAATGGTAAATTACTTCCAAACAGTTTATCAAATTACACTGAATATTCCCAAATAATAAGAAAGAGCCCATGAAAAAAATAATACGATACATGACTTCAGGGATCTGAACTTGAAATATAGAACTGTAAGAAAAAAATTTAATCGTACCCATCCTGAGAGAAAGCAGCCCCAGAATGTCTAAAATATACATATAAAAACATGTTTTAATAAAATCCAACATTTTAAGTGTTATTTAGGGTAATATTTAGTTGTGTTGGTGGGACCTCGATATACAAATTTAATTTTAAGCATGAGCCGCTTTTTCCCTAGGGGGAAAAATGAATCACCTGAAAGATATTTCTATCCAATAAAATTAAAATTACACACTTATTAAATTTATTAACCACTGATTAATCAGATTATGGCAGTCATGCTGTTAGGTTTCCCTCGGAACAGGCATGAGAGGGACAGCGAGACTCCCATACTTTGCCTTGAGCAGAGACCCGGGTCAGCAGGTGATCACCTGCTTGCAGCTCCATAGCAAACAGCGCTGGGAAAATAAACAAAAACCAGAGCAAAACACTTTGCATGCCCATGATTTGAGCTGACTGGTTTGACTGAACTACAGATACAGGCTCGGTTTCGATCGAAAAGCTATGAACCTTGTAATGTTGGCCATTCTCTACAAACTGACTAGCAATAATGATTTTACTGCTCCTAAAAGCATACCATAATTTTTTGCCACTTCTGTGAATTTAAACCTGCCCCCAATTCCTAACAATCCTTTAGTTGTAGATAACGTGATGTTGTATTTATTCAGAGCACGACACATTTGTTACCTTTTCAAAAAGGGAAAATGGAAGCACCTACAAAGGGGATCAAAGATAAAGGAGCTGGAGAAATCGCACAAGGGTAAATGTAAATGGGGGGACATTTTATTGGGTGTTTTCTATTTTAGGAGTGGCGCATGGGAGTCTCAGGAGTCCTAAGTGAAGGGGACAGACAGTGGAGGAAGCCAGGCCCCATCCAGGTGGACTGGGTCAAATGACTGGAAGAAGGATATCCTGTGAGCCCTCCTGCCCCCAGTGGTCGAATCCCAAATCGCTAAAGCTCAAACACGTTCGACAATCAGCAGGAGAAATGATGAGGTGTGTGAGGGAACTACCTGTGGCTTGTCGGTTATGAACATCTATTCTGCACCTCACAGACCACTTCTTCAAGCAGAGAAATGAAAGCTCTCATGTGATGGAGCGAATGCTGAGGAATAAAAACCAAAAAGCTCAATCTCGGGTAAAGTAAAACTAAAAGGTAATCAGAGGAGACGTGACCTTGCCACATGATTCAGAAAACGCCCAAACATGAGCTTGGGCGGGGTTGCCATGGTAGCAACACAACACCTGAAGATAACGCTCAGATTTCTCTCTCTTCCCAAGCTTATCTCTGGGAGACACACTAATGGGCAGTTGAAAAGAAAAATCAAAATAGAAAGAGGAAAAGCAGAGGCCAAGGTAAATTATAAGTTAAGAATTAACGAGAAAGATCATAAATGCTTTAATGATTTGTGACAATAAACGATGATATTACTGGAATATTATGTGGCTGCTAAAAAGGAAGTCTTCCCTTTTCCACCACATGGATGGGCCTTGAAGACACTATGTTAAGTGAAGTAAGTCAGACAGGGAAGGACAAATACCATGTGCTCTTACTTATATATGGAATCTATAAAACAAAAACAAACAAAAAATCCAAGCTCACAGGTACAGAGAACAGATGGGGGGGTGTATCAGAGGCCAGGGAGGGCTGGGATGGGCAGAATGGACAAGGGGAGTCAGAGGTACAAGCTTCCAGTTACAACATAAATAAACTCTGGGCACAGAATATACACGATGATGACTCTAGTTAATACTGGATGGTATATACATAAAGTTGCTAAGAGAGTAGAACCTAAAATTTCTCAACTCGAGAAAACAATTTTTGTAACTATGTGTGGTAATAATATTCTTAATTAACTAGGCCTACTGTGGTGACCATATCATCAGGCGTACAAATCCTGAATCATTATGTTGACCATCTAAAACACCTAATACGGTGACAGATGTCAACTGTATCTGTTTTTAACAAGGGTTTAAACACAGGTAGTACCAACAACAAAAAGGCTGTATTTCCACCCTGTAAAAGCCAGCTCCCAGGCTTGAACTCCTGGTAACATACCCAGTAAAATGTCTGCACCGTCATAATCAGCCTGATTGGAGACTGAGCACCGTGCCCCACGATGTGGGGCGCCCGCCCTACACAGACCACGCCAGATTCTGTTCGCCTCCGCCGCTGCCGGAGGAGGTGAGGTGCCCGTCTTTTTGTACAGAGTCAGAATGAGATCCGATCTACCCAGATGGAAGGGAGACCCCACCTGAGCGGGATGCTGGGTAGCTATTCTGCTTCCTCCTACAAGCGCTCACGGCAAGTTACCCAAGTGGCTGCTTCTGCCAAACTGAACATTCATTCTTTCAATTAGCCATTCAACAACTGTTGTTGAACACCTGGCCATCTAGGGTGCTGGGACAGAGGGATGAGGGTAACAAGCCAAGTCCCTGCTCTCAGGGAGCTGATGTTCCCACGCCCCTGTATGTTTCCCTTCCTCCTCCTCCTCCACCGACAACTACAACTGCAACAGACACAGACTGTATAACTCATGTGCTCACATGTGCCACAGAGAAAAACAAAGTTCGGTCAGTAGATGAAGAAGGATGAGTGTGTGTGTGTGACCCATGCAGCCATTGGGAGGCAGAGCATTCCCCACATCGGGTACAAAACTGCAATGGCCCCGCCACCACGCACCCCACCCTCTTGAAAAAACGAGGAGCCCAGTGTGCACAGAGGGGAGGGAGCCTGGGAGGAGTGCGGAGCCGGAAGCAGGGAGATGGTGGAGGCCTGGAAGGCCAGGGCCGGGGCCTCAGAGGCATGAGTGCAGGTAGGTGCATTCTGGCCACATCTTTACTCACCTAATGGGCCACAAAACGCAGCCTCCCTTCCAACAGCCCTTTGTAATGGAAAAATCTTTCCCTGTATTTCTGAGAGTCAACTGAGGTATCTTTCTTTTTTTTATAATTTCCTTGCAAAGCTTTTTCTTTTTTATGAGCAGAGAGAAAAAATCAATTAATTGGTATGGTCGAGATGCAAGAATGGCATTTCCCAAGAGGCCAGCAAACGGCACCGTTGCTAAACTGTGGTTGAAAACACAAGGTGTTCCTCTCGGTGCATCCTGCAAAGAACCTCAGCCCCCTGCAACGCCGCTGTGGGGCACAGGAGGGAGGAACAGCGGCTGGGGGCTGATGCCCAGAGTGGAGATGTCCCCAGAGCTCCAGTGTCCCTGCACTGCCCTTTGCCCCCCGAGACAACCATGAGAAGCAGCCCAGAGGAAGTGCAGCCCCCACGCTGGAAGTCCAGCTCTGTGTTTGTGAATGAACACACATACATCCCACAGTTTTCACTGATGTTTGTTTACGTGCCTTAAGAAAAAGAAATTAAACCTTTTGCACATAAGACATGCAACATGAGGAAGCAAACATGAAAATACTGTTGTAAATTTGATGCATACACTCAGTCACCAGGCAGCTGGAGCGAACCAAACACTGGATTGCCGGGGGCCGTCTTGGTTCACCTATTGTTCTGGGGAAAGGACTGCTAGCTCCCCTTTCAATCCCAGAACACTCCTGCGTTGGATGAGAAGTTACAGGGTTGCCTTGTATATGGCTCAAGTTCAAAGAAATCAAGTAATAAAGTTCTGGCATACTCAACTTTAATTAGAATTATTTTGCTTTGCAAAAGATTTTAATTGACCAGTTTTGAAGTAAAAGGACTTGAAGATAAATATAAAGCCAAAAACAAGAACATCCAAATGAGGAATAAGGAAAGAGGATAGACAGGTATGTGAAAGAAAACCTGTCCAAATGTTCAACTTAAAAAGAAGGATGAAAATATTCTTTAAAATCTAAGCACAGATGTCTTTAGCATGGGGTTCTCTTTTGAACATCTAAAATGGTTAACTTGTATTTGTAGAAGGCCTCTGATGTAGGGTTGGCCATTGAAGTAGGTGCCAGAGATAAGAAGATAAAAGACACAGCTCCTCTCAAAAAGGTGCTTATAAAAGGAAAAAAAGAAAAAGCCCTGTCCAGTGTGGCATCAGCCCGCAAAGCAAAAGGTCACCAATTCCATTCCCAGTCAGGGTACGAGCGTGCCCGTGTTGCTGGTCCCTGGTTTGGGGCATGTGCGAGAGAGGGGCAACTGATTGATTGTTTCTCTCACACACTGATGTTTCTCTCCCTCTTTCCCCTTTCCCTAAAATAAATAAAATCTTTAAAAAAAACCCTCACAGACACAGAAAACAGTTGGTGATTACCAGATAGAAAGGGGGGTGAGGGAGGCAGAGGAGGGTAAAGGGGGGTAAATGGTGACGGAAGGAGACTTGACTCGGGGTGGTGACCACACAGTACACTATACAGATGACATGTTGTAGAATCATGCACCTGACGCCTATACAATTTTGTTAACCCATGTCACCCGCAATACGTTCGATAAAAATTTTTTTAACTAAAAAATTAAAGGAGCTTATAATCAGCAAGAAGAGGCGCCCCCCCCCCCCAAACAAATAGCACAGGAGTCACAATGGAGCATCACAGGTGCTGTGATGGCGTAAACACCGGGCGCCAAAGTGAGTCCTAAGAAGCGAGTGAGGACGGGCCGGAGAGGACGCACAGATGCCCCACCGCAAGATCTTCCGGGAGAAGACGATGCTTGCAATGGATCTTAAAAATGGGAGAAGATGGCAGATGAGGACTGGAGGGGGAAGGGGACATTCTAAACCAAGAGGACCGACCGCATGGGCAAGGCTAAGGGCCAGGAACGCGTCCGGATGGTGCGAGCCACGTGGGCCACCGAGCGAGCAGCCAGTGACCACGGATGAGGCTGCGGAAGTATTCCGAGACCAGAGAGTGCAAGTACACGTGACCACGACGGAATCGGACTTTCTCACGGTGCGAGGGGCCGCGGAGTGATTTTGCGGCAACATGTGTATTGTCGAAGGGGCCCCTTCGACGGCTATGGGAGGAAGAGTTTGAGGATGACCACACTGCAGGTAGAAGGATCGGGGAGGAGGCCAAGGGACCCACTTAGTTTAAAAAAGCAAGAACAAAAATAACATTGTCTGGGGCCTCCAAGAAGAGAGCAGCTGCAGGAGACTAGAGAAGACGGTTTCGGGAAGGAGGCTGGAGTGGAAGTGTAGGTTTGGGAGTGGGGAATAGTTGAAGTGGCAGCTGGACCACGGGAGACATGAGCCGCCGGGATCAGGGTCAGTGACGGGAGGAGAAAACCAGGAGCCAGCCCCGCAGGACTCCGGGGGCAGAGGCAGGTGGAGGTGAGTACACTCTTAAAGGAGATGGAAGAGGACCGTGGAGGGGTCAGCTTCAGAGAGAGAGTGGAATAGTGTCCATTACTGTGTACAGGAATAAGAGTGTCTGTTCATGAGATCGGGTACTGGGCCTCTGGCTGACCCCCACCCTGTAATTATTTCAGCAGAGGGGCGGGAGGGTGGATGTCAAATTTCAGATGGTTGAAGAATTAACTGGACATGAAAGAGTAAAGAGACCAAGTATAAACTACTTCTTCTCTCAGAAAGGCTTCCCATAAAGGAGAGGAACAGGACAAGAGGCAGGTATTTGTTACGTGTTACTGCTTTTAAGTTGGAAGACACATATGTGGATTTATACACTCGTTTGTTTTTTTTTTTTAGTGTGATGGAGAAGGTGATAACTGAAGAAAGAGGAAAATCAGAAAGTAAGTTCCTAGGAGGTGGGAGCCCAGACTGGAGCCCAGGGTACCGCGCCCACTGAGACAGAGAGGCGCGGGCGTGGTAGGCGACACCAGCAAGTGCGGGGATGGTGAGAGGGCAGGAAACTGAAGTTCAAGTTCATGGTCCCTATTTCCTCCATGAAATCATTACTGAAAATGAGGGCAAAAGCCATGAACAAAGTGGCTGTACGAGAGTGCACGAGGTTTAACGTGGCTCCTGTGGAGGCCACGGGAAGCCACTGATGACATGCTGGGGACGACGGTTCTACGGTGGCACAAACATGCCATCTCTCAGGAAATCAGTTCCCGCTCATGCTCTTCCCAGAGCTTCCCCGCGAGCGAACACACCACCTGTGGGGACAAAGTGGGGGAGCGGGGCCAGGCCAAGGGGGGCGTGCGGCAGGACGGGAAAGAAGGGTGAACCAACCAGGGACCAGCCGGAAGTCCAGTGATTCGAGCTCACCTTTTTGGTGCACTTCTTCACAGTGTTGATTAACTCTTGCATCACCAGATCCACGCTCTTCAAGGAAGGCCCTTTCAGCTTCACGATTTGCTTTTTGACTATTGCTTCAAAGGCCATGTCCGGGGTGAACAGCCCTGTCCTGCACGTAAAAAGGAAAGCCCACGTCAAATTCGTGAAGTGAGTACCACCAAGTACCGGTCCGGAAGTGTTTTGATTGGCAGGCCACTTGGAAGAAAGCTTGTAACACCCCAGTTTAAAAGTTACGACGTGACTTATTCTCGCCCCAGTAGCATTTGTAAGGATACCTTTAATACATATATTCCATGGTAGATTCTGTTCTATAGATGATGAGCATTTCCTAAAAATAGTTCCCCAAATGTTTACACGGCACACTCCCTGGCCCGACTGCCTGTAATTTGTGTCGTTCCTCAGCCGCACGGCAGTGGGAGAGGAGAAAACGGGAACAGAAATGGGATCCTCAACTGACACTCCCATTTCTGAAGTGTTCCAGAAGCAACCCTCCCTTGTCCTGCGCGGGGCAGAAACGGTCCTCACTTTTAAATGCTGCCGCCGTTAACGCGACTGGGCGGCCGTGTCACGTGAGCTCGGTGGACCCCCCGTCCGAGGTCCCGGGGAGCTGGAGGACAAAGCGGTTAAATGACACCAACCTGGGGCCCAGGATGGCGAAACTGAGTTTTTAAATAACAAACAATAGCCAAAACGGAAAGTGCCTTTTTCATTGGGCCAGGACGAGTTCCAGTGAGTATGGTAACGATGCTTGTCTTGTGCTGTGCGGGCGCTCGGGAAAGCAGACGTGTTTGTGTGTGTTTGTGTGCTTCGTGGAACGTGAAAGACAGTTACTCACATTCAAACAACAGGTCCCTGGAGACAAGCTAGTAAGAGGGACCCCGGGCCCCGAGCATCGGCCGTCCCGGCAGCTCTGGGTGATACAGGGTGCAGCCAGGGGGCCCCCCCAAAAAAAAGGGATTTGGAAGGGTGTCCAGAATTCAAAGTGTATAGAAATATTGGAGAGACATATAAGATGTCCTCACCCCCCCCCCCACAGGGGGAAGAAAGAATGGAGCCAGGCCATTGAGAGCTATTTTGCATAGCAACAGTTTTGGAGCTAACCTCTGGAGGAATGGTTATTTAACATATCTATAACCTTTAACTGGTTTCATAGATATGTTAAATAGCTGTGGCCAAGTTTGGAGCCAGAGAGAAGGGAGTAGCAGGGGCAGAGAGAAGGAACTAGCAGAGAGAAGGAACTAGCAGGGACTCAGGATGGAACTGGGAGGTCTCAAGATGGAACTAGGAGCTGCGCTCCTGAGTGAGAAGGGACTCGAGATGGTAATGAGGTCTGCTCTCCAGAGTGAGAAGGGCTTGGACTCAGAATGTAACAAGGGGCTGCGCTCCTGAGCGAGATGGCCTGGGTGGGAGCTTGGAAAAGACTGGCTCCAGGACACGAAGGGTCCCTGCTTGGCCAGATGAGAGAGAGAGAGAGCCACGCGGTTTCAGCAGAGTGAGGACCCCCTGTTGGTGGGGTGAAAGAGGGAGCCACGTGGTTTTGGCGGAGTGTGGACCCCCTCTTTCCCAGGTGAAAGGGAAAAACCACGCAGCTTGGCCAGAATGGAGATCCCTGCAGCCAGGTGAAGAAGACAGCCACATGCTTTTGGTGGAGTGCGGACTCCTGCAGCTTTGGTAGAAGAGGCCCACGCGGCTTTGGGGTGCCCCCTTTGGCTGCGGGGCCTGAAAAGCAACAGAGACTTTGACTAGAACTGGGTACAAAGGACTCTTGCCAGTGGACCATGAGAGGCTACCACAGTACTTTGGATTAACTCGAGATCCTGCACAGTGACACAGCTGACGGTGCCAGCGGCCTGCAACACAGACGTGTGCTCTTTTCCTGATTTACGGTACCCGGAGTTGGGACAAGAGGGAAGGGAGCACTGTGTGGGTGTAGGTGTATAACCTAAAGGACTTTGATATTTTAGTGGTGGCATTAGGCCTGAATAGCATTAAATAAACATTTTGTTTCCTTTTCACAAATCTCTGGCATTAAGAGATGTGTTTCCAATTGGCGGCGGACAGAAGGGCCCAGTAGATTTTAGTATTTTGGTTTTTGGGAGGGGCCCCTGTTGTACAGCAGTTTTGGGCATCCCTAGGTGGGCCAAATATTGTATTGCCCCTCCCTCGGACCTCCTCTTGTTCGGTAACATGGGCACCGCACTTGGCTCCCTGTTCCTAGACCGTCCTCCCTGTCTCTTCTCGCCTCCCCTTACTTAACTTCTCTCCTTCAGCACCCGGTTCTACGGGTCTCTTGGGGGGTGGGAGGGGACTCCTTTAACACTCCTTTCCTGAACCAGCTCTGCTCTATGTCCCTCCTAATCACGTACCGAGCACACTCCGGTCTGCTTTATTCTAACCGTAGTGATCATACGAGACTGCGGCTTGGATATAGAATAAAACTAGCATGGCTCAGTCTAACGTTAAAATTTCCCCCTCCGACCCCACCCTCCTTTATTTTCCTCCTTCCTCTTGTGCACCCTGTGTTTCAGCCGCAGCGGACCACCTGCCTTTCCACAAACTCACTCACACCAGGATTTCATCTCTCTGCCTTCGTCTGTGGCGTTCACTTTGGCCTCCCCCGAGTTTTGGCCCATCCGCATCCCACCTGTGCTTCAGGCCCAGATCAAAACGCCACTTCCTACAGCGCCCACCCCTGCCTGGCGGCCTCCAAGGCCTCCCTCCTCCAAACCTCCACACCCTGTTTCACGGCGGTGGTCCGGCCCAAGTTTCAGTCCCGTTACTACTGGGGTAGGACAGGTGACCATCGCACTCCTCTGTGTCTGCCCACCAGGACTGTCTCCCTCCCGGGCTCCTCGCCGGTTCTCAGTGTTTGCAGAACAAAGGGCCCAGCGAGGAGGGTTTCCATTCTGCAAACATCCAACAGGATCAACTGGGAACAATGCTTTTCACACATGACCTTTGGGGCCTAAGTAAGCCACTCATATGTCTGTCCTAAGTGCATCAGCATCACCTTACGGGCAGATCAACTGCAGGACGGTGACAAGCGGTCTCCCCCACTGGTGAGCACGCAGACCGGAAATCTACCCTGAACTGCTGAGCTTCGCAGCCGGTGGTCAACAAACATGGACTCACGGGGAGCTTTGAAAGCCAAGGGAAGTGCTGGATTTGGCTAAGTACAAATGCTCTGTGACCCCCAACTGTGCTCCGACAGGCACGTTCAAACGCTAGCCCTGCCCAGCTACAGAGCACGAGGCAGCTCCACCGCAGATGCAGTCTGGATTCGAGGCCGGGTGAACGGGGAGCTTTAGCTCACACGCGGCCTGCGGCTGGCGAGAGGCACGGGGTGTGCCCGCGGATGTTTCCTCCTTTTCCCCTGGTGAACTCGGACGTACCTAGAGATCGTCTCCATTTTAAAACGGCAGCCAATTCAAATGTCATGACTCCTTCGGAAAACCACCCACCACATTCATAGTCATGGTCAAGTGCCCCAGAGGGTCTCTGCCTGGCCCTGTGTATGCAGAGCGTGTGCGCGCGCGCACACACACACACGTAGCACACACACGGCACACTCAGCTGAAGCAGGGACACCACTGCCGACAGTCAGGGGGCGCTCTCTTCCCACGGGAAAATCCGTGAAGCCAGCCACCTAAGTCCTGTCACCCTGACTGAGGTCACCTCAACTACCACGTGCTCCATCGCCCTTTGCGTAGGCTCCATGAAGTCAGGAAATGTGCGTTTTAAATCCTTTTTCCCTATCAGTTATTTAAAGAAACTCAACGCATACGATACCACTCTGTACAGGGTTAAGTCCAGGCACAAGGGCCACTCCCAGACCCATGCCCTCTGCTCTCCTGTCCACATTCCTACCTGCAGTCAGTGCGTGACCCCTGCTCCGTGACCACAGCTACAGCTGCCACCTCTGCCTGCGTTCACAGCGCTCCTTTCGTGCGTCCTGTCTTTCACCCTCCAGCCCCGACACGCTCCATCCTCCCCCGTCTCATTGCATTGCCCCCTACCCCATACGCACACACAAACTCACCACACAGAGACGCACACACACAGACACGCACACAGCACACCGTTGCCAGCTGAAGTCATTCTTGTCCTCTAAACAGACAAGGTTCAACTCCAAAGTTACCACCTTCATTAACTGTTCCCAACCCTGCTCCACGACGCCAGCCATGGTCACTCTGTCCCCTCCCCATGTGAGTCATGACGACGGATGGCCTGCCAGGACCCCTCCCCAAGATGGAAGGCTCTGGAGGACAGGGGTCCTGGTGGTGCGAGCCCAGAGTTGTGAGTGCAGAAGGGTTTCTGTTTTTCTAATTGAGAAAGACTGAGGGTGACGATACAGGCGATGACCGCTGAACCCAAACGAGGACTTCCTGCTCCTTCCCCCCACCCCTGGACCCCACCGGGCTCAGACCGTGTAAAGGCTCCTTCACTGGCCATTTATAAACATTCATCTTCCTGCAGCAGCCAGAACCAAAGACAAGGAACATGTGAGCCACTTGCCTGATACCATGTATATTTTTGATTGCATAGCTTATCTCTCGTCGCAGTTCTTTCTCATTGAACTCCATCTGCAGATATAAAATGAGCCACAGTTAATGATACTTAGTTCCCCTAATACGATGAAATATTAAAGAATGAGAATAACTTGACTTCATTAGTAATGAATGGATGCTCGTGCCTTCCCCGACTTAAACCCAGATGGTCAAAACATCTGTGTATGTCGAGTTCAAGGCAACAGAGAACTTCAGGGATTTCTGGGAGTTTTATTTCAGTGCTGCAGACTTTAACTCTCTTCTAGGTGGGAATGCTGTGCATAAAGGATGCCTTCTGGTCATAAATCTGACCGTTCGTTTGAAAGCTATAATTCTTCATTCTTTTGCTAAATGTAGGAACGGTATTCACAGACAAATGCATAAATCAGAGTGTCACCTGACAGGCAACAGCGGCCCAGCTGTGCTGTGAACAATGACTGTCGTTTCTCCCTGGCCTTTTAACCACCTGGGTTCCAGGCCTCTCTGGGAGGAAATGAACAATATTTCACCAATCCTATACGGGATAGATGGCTGTGTAAAAATTTCCCAGAAGTTACCAGGTACCTGAAATTTATTTGGAAGTAGGAGCAAAGTGTCCTGGAGCTTAGTCCTGGAAGGGTATCAAGAGAACACTGGGTTCAGCCCCCGACCCCCGAGGCTCGGCCCCTCCAGCCCCACCGTCCATCCTCGTGACCGTGGGCGGCTTTGTTCCCGGCCCACGCCCGGGCTCCGCGGTCAGTCTTTCCCCGACCTCCCTTTCTGTCTGGAGTAACCTCCCCCTCCCTCACCTCCTCCTGCCTAACAAGCAGCTCATCCTTCCAGGCTCATGTCGGAAGCCAGGCTCCCGGACACTCCGGGCCGGGATTCACGTCTGGGGGTGGTGTTTCCATAGCACCCTGGGCTGCAGTTTATCACTGTGCTTAGCACATTTTAATGGAACTCTCTGTTTACCCATCTGCCTCCCACGCCAAGACAGGAGCAGCCCAGTCCCTGAACCACTCAGCTGCCTGCTGAGCGCCTCGCACAGAACGGGCTCCGTGCTCACACACGTTTGCTCGGCTGTGCAGGCCAAGACCTCAGGAGTCATCTTGAAAGTTCCCTTTTTTGCGTCCCCCAGATTCACTCCAAACCCTGTGAACCCTACTTCCAAAATCACAAATCCACCCTCGTGGGCACTTCCTTCCTCGCGTCAGCCCGGTGCAGCCCCTGCCCGTCACCAGCGTACAGGCGCTCACTTGGGGCCTGTTCTCGGCTGCTTGTCTCGAATGACGCCTTCCCCCAAACGCCCACAGCTGGTCTTTCCATGCCATTCTGGTCCTGTTTCCAACGTCCCCGGCTCAGAGACACCTCACCTGAACGTCCCACCAAAAGTGACTCCCCCAACCCTCCCCCACCCGCTCACTATATTACATAATAACACCTGAGATCTTCTTACTTTGTCGATTTGTTCATTTCAGGTCTTTCCCCACCAGACAGTGTCTCTGTCCTGATCACTGGCACTTAGAACATTGGCACAGAGTGCGTGCTCAAGAAATATGTTTAAATTAACTGGACAACAAATAAACGTCATAGGAACGCAATTAGTGTTTGCTGAGATAATTTGAAATGTCATCAGGTCTCATGAAATAACACCGGGACCACCGGTAAGAAATGTTTCTCTCCTGAACGTCATCATCTGAGTGTGAAGGCTTTCTCATTCAAAGCACCGCCTTAGTCCCAGACCAGCTCTGCCACGTTCTGTGAACGTGATGGAGAACACAGTGTGGGAACGAAGTGACACGGGACAGGAAACAGTAGCGTCGGTACCAACCTTCACTATTTCAAAGGGAAAGCGTTCGTGGAAGATACGATTGATTTTCGCACCCCCGGAGAGCTCCAGGGTGTCTACCTGGTCCCCCGAACCTTCGATTCTCTTCTCAAAGTCCACAGCGAACTGCTGAACCATCCTGTCATTGTGAGAGAGAAATGAAGTCAAGTTAAAGGGGCAGGGCTTTGCGTTTCTCCTTCGGGAACCCTCCCTGGTGGTCTCCGTGCTGCCTGCTGGCAGAGTTAGCATCACACTGTGCTCAGCACTCGAGGTTAACTGTCTGAAATGCACATTATTAGGATTTACTTTAGATGTTTAGTTAAAATATATGCATTCTAAATACCTGGGCCATTCCGTGCGCTCTGTCCGCAGAGTGGTAGCCCACGGCTCCTACAACATCCACTCCCCTGGCATTCCCCACCGTTCCAGCAGGCCCCCCCGGGGAGCACCTCTCCTCCCCACCCCTGCACCACAGGCCTCGCTCTGCCAGAACAACACGTGTGTGTGACCCCCAGGCCCCCCACCACTAGCTCTCGCCTTGCTTCTCAATGACTCCCCACGACTTGATAATAACATGAAAACTCCTTCACCCATCACCCAAGACTCTCCGTGGTCTGGCCCTGGCCACCCACCTCTTACTATTTCCGCGCCCAGCTTCCACGCCTGCCCAGAGAAGCAGTTCCGCATGTGTACCGTGTCTCTGTGCTTTTTACTTCTGCTCGGGTACCACTCCCTTGGCCTCTAGCTACTTTAGCAGGCTACCTTCCATCTGAACTCCAAGGCTCCATGCAAGGATTCGTTTTCCAGAGAAACCCCCGTGATCTGTGACCCTATCGGCCACCTGTCCCCACTGGCACCAGGAGAAGGGCCCTCCTCTGCTCCCTCAGCAAGTTGTCGTCAGTACAGCCCCTGGAAGACACTCGGCCATGTTCACCCACTGATCACTCTCTCTCCTAAGAGCAGGGGCCGTGAGTTCTGTTTTTCTCCCGCTGCTCAGCCAGTGAGAGGCGCTCAATCAGTCCACTGAGGGAAGGAACTGCCTTCAGGGGGCTGGTGAAAAACAACAAAGAAATCCACCACTCGGGGAAGAAAACCACGTGCTTCTGTGATGACTTGGTACAGAAACTCCAATTTTGACATAATAGAACTACCTTCAAATTCAAAATCTAACAGGAAAAAGTTCAAGCCATCTAAAACTCACAACATCTTTTTACCAGCATCACAGATAAATGAAAAGTACCTGCAAATTACTAGGCCAGAAAATCTAGAATATAATTGGATGCACCTACAGCTATATTCATGCATATGCTAATGTGAAACTGATTTTTAAACACCTGGAAGGGTGTGTGTGCACCATACATGCTGAAACACCAGCCCCTCTCTCCCCATCCTGACACAGAGCCACCTGGCCTACCAGGACCCATGGCACCAAAGTCCACGCCCTCCTTGCCCTCCTTCTCTCACCTGACAAACTCCTAACTTCGGGGTTTCATTCAAGGTCACTTTTCTCTGTGAACACACACCCCTCCTCCAGGGAACTGCTCTGCTTCCTCAGCCGGGCCCCCTTCACATTTTATACTTAGCAGAGATAGTGCATTTGTCAGACTAGCCTCTCAGATGTCCCTTCCGTCTGCTCCACCACGGCCTCTTCTTGAAGCCGAAAACCTCTTACTCATTGCTGAATCACCAGCAGGCAGCGCGGGCCTGGACCCTGAGCAGAACACACAGAGAGGAGAGGAAGGTGGGCAGGAAGGGAGGAAGGACAGAAAGAGGAAAGGAGGAAGGAGCTGAGTCTCTCATCTACGAGGCAGCATCTAACTGGAAAGTTCTGAGCTCTGAGTCCGGTGGAGCCACAGAGGCAAGACCAGTCTCTGCAAGGACATCCCTTTGATTGGATGTTGAGACGGTGATGGCCTGGGAACAGAAATAGCCTTCCTTTCCCTGTGACTGGAAGAGTTTTTATAGGTGCTTCACCAAAGCCAAGACAAAAAGAAGAAAGAAAAACTAGGAAGGAGTTGAATCCAAGAAAAACTTTTTTCCTCTATATGGTCTCATAATTTTTTAATGGGATTAGGTGATGTATTTAAAATGCTACCTAAATAATTCGAGCATTTAGAAATCTCCCCACAAAAGAAGACACTGTATCACGCACTTCAATACCAAAGGAAGGTGCTCTGGTGGTGAGAACGCCGAGGGGAAGGGGCCATGAGAGGTGGCAAGATCATCTCTGGAGACGGACACCAGATGTCCTGGGATCTAAGCTGGGCAGGGGGTGTCGTCTGGTGCAGAGGGACCTGAGGCAAGGTACAGCAGAGCCAAGGAAGGACAGGTGAGGCTGGAAGGGGCGGGAAGAGGGAGAAAGGCCGACAGACAAGCAGCTGGACCCTCTCTGACGACGCTGCTGCCCGACCCCAGGGCCGCGCGAGGATGAACACAGCAGCCCAAGGATGAGATGGGAGACCAGGCAGGAGCGAAAACACGCTTGGCCATCTTCACGGTTGTGGTTTTGAAGGGCTAAATTAAAACCATTAGTGACAAGGATAAAGACAGTTCGATGTGTCTGTACATTTCTGCGGAACCCTTGGTTCTCACTGCCCTGACAAAATGCCCCCCGGGTCACAGGAAATGAGTGAAAGAAAAAGGTAAGTACAAGGGGCACCAACAGAGCAGTTGTATGAGACAGGCTGTGACATTTCCAACAGGCGCTCTGCCCACTTCTAATTCTAAGGATAAAAAAAGCCTGCTGAGTTATCATATTGGTTTTGCCATTTACTGAATCCAATTATAAAAACACAATGAAACTAGGCCTGGGATAGGCAATTGGTTAACTTTGTGTAACAGCAGCGTGGGACTAACGATTATTCTGCAAGAAAACAGAGAGACGCAAGCTCACTGACTGACACATACAAAGCCTCGCAAAGCTGACTCCCAGCTTCGTTAAGCCTAGAACACAAGGAGGGAGAGGGGCTCACTGCAGCAGGGCTTTCGTCTTCCTGGTGGGGTCCTCGGGCTTGAAGTTCTTGAAGGCTTCAACTTCGTGTTCTATGGAGAGCAGCTGGGCCTGCAGCTTGTTCCTGAAGTTCGGCAGGGTGTCCCGAATGTGGTTGGTAAGTTGCTAAATAAAACAAGACAAAATCACACACCCATACAACAGATGGAGGATCAGCTTGTGAGACGACACTCGGCCCCCACTGTTTTCCTGATCACTCGGAACTCGAGAAATGATTCACACAGCTGAGACTGGGGGCGGAGGCGGGGAGTGAGGTGCAGCTCCGACTCTCTCCACTGTCCCAGGAGAGACTCAACGTGCCTCAATTACAGGGGCTGGCTTGGGCCATCTGGTCTACCCTGTTAAAAAGCAGCTGATGTTACTACTGAGGATGCCTAGGAGTACCTAGCTAGCATGGATTGATGACCAGATCACCTACCTTGTAGAAAGAAAGCTTAAGTTAGAACATGGTGGAAATGAAGGAAGTGGGAGTCACAGGAGTTTCCTGACACTGTCAGGGCCAGGGCTCACCACCCTGGTGGAGCTTGGGGCTACCCCTCGGCCATGAACAGCATCTCCACTCCACAGCCCTGCAGGCGCTTCCTCTTGCCTCTGCCCCTAGGCCCCAGTCTGATTGTGCTGGGTCACTGGCTTATCCCTTCAACAGGCTGCATATAAAAATGTATATTAGCCCTGGCTTGTGTGGTTCAATTCCCAGTGAGGGCACATGCCTGGGTTGTGGGCCAGGTCCCCACTACCAGGCATATAAGCAGCAACCACGCTTTGATGCTTTTCTCCCTCTCTTTCTCCCTCCCTTCCTCTCTCTCTAAAAATAAATCTTTTTTTTAAATGGGTATTAAAGTGTATACCCCTGTTCACTGCTCCTAGATAAATATGTCTCTGCTTTGAGCACTGTTCTTTCAATAATATTAAAGTGGAAGATTCCATTCAAGAGAATTGTAACAATGTGGATCTAATCATTCATATTCCTTTCTCAAATTCCTATAATTTCAGCTGTGTGAGTTACGTTAGAAAAACAACAAATATAAAAATAAGAAAGATGAATTCCAGCAGTCGCTTGCACATTTCATAATAGCACCTGCTGCTTGGAAGGGCATTTTTACCTGGTTGAGGACCTTCTGCAGGTGTGGGGTCCCCATCCGGTCGGCAAGGTGCCTGTAAGCCGGGTGCGAGAGAAAGAACTTCCTCTCCGCCAGCATGGCGGACTTGATGTCCTTCTTCCCATCGATGTCCTTCTGGCTTCTGTTCACCACGCCCACGTAGCCTGAAACAGAACACGCACCTGTGGTGTTGGGGCACGCTTTGCTGCTTATTTGGGGGCGATCTCAAGGCTCTCAAAGAGTCTGAATAAGAGGCAAGATTCTTTTTAAGGCCTGAGGAATGGGTCCCTTCACAAAACTCACTCAGGACAGAACAAAGGCTGGCTGATTTGGTTAATGATGGTTTTTTAGCACTGACATAATAATGCCTTTTGCCGATAAAGCTCTGTGTGTTTTAACAGAGTATGTTTCTTTGCCGTTCTGTTGTATAGTGGGCACGTAAGTCAGACTTAGAAGAGGTCAGTATATGTTTATTTCGTCTATGAATATTTATAGTCTTCCTTCAAACCCCTTCCTTTTCCAGTTTGCTTACTCCTGTTAAGGCACAGTTTCCCCTTGGACCATTTTTGATACATCATTGGGAACATCACCATTCCATAAAAAGCATAACTCATCCTAGCCCCATTCCTCACACCTGCAGTGACATTGCAAACAAGCCTCCCCCAGGTCTGCGGGCTACGCGTCTGCCCATCAGCAAAGGAAGCCCTGCGGCGGACACGGTACGTTACCCCTGCGCAGAGGCAGCAGCCTGTTCTCCAGGACGTCCCTGGCGTCCGTCCCTTCATCCATGAGATCCAGTTTGGTGATGACTCCAATGGTTCTTAGACCTGCAGCACCAACAAAGCCAGCGTCACGCAATGTGCAGAAGGTGTGCAAACTGTGGAGACATGTCTCAGTGCTCAATACAAAGCACTCATATGTCTGGTCCTTTTCCTGTTCCTCTCGGTCTTACTCTGTTTTGTAATCCACTGCTACCCCAACCTGGGGAATTTCAATGGGATGAGGCAGAGAGTTGGAAAACCACCCATCCATCAGGTAACTTTTTATTCAAAGGGAAAAATGTAAACACCTGTCTCACCAAAAATACTTTTCAATTCGTGAGTTTATTTTTGGAACACGCATACACATTTAAATTCTCTTTCCAGCTCCTGCATACAACAGGATGCTTACATTTTTTCTGTATTACATTATTTAAAAACATAAACAAATGGCTACACCTGGACCAGTAATGCAAGTGTGTTATGAACCAAGGCTTAGTATTGATCCGGGTCTGAGCCCGGAGATCAGAAAATAAAAAGAAGGAGGTTGGGTGTGAGATGGCACTATGACCAGAAATTGTGCAAGTCTCGCAGCATGTCCTGCTCCTGCGGAAGGGAAACATGACTTAATGAAACCAAGACTGGCCCCGGCTAGTGTGGCTCAGTGGATTGAACCCAGGCTGTGAACCAAAGGGCCACTGGTTCAATTCCCAGTCAGGACACATGCCCGGGTTGTGGGCCAGGTCCCCAGTGTGGGTCACGTGAGAGACAACCACACATCGATGTTTCTCTCCCTCTCTTTCTCCCTCTCTTCCCCTCTCTCTAGAAGGAAGGAAGGAAGGAAAGAAGGGAAGAAAAGGAAATATTAAAAGAAAAGAAAAGAAGAGTTTCCTCATCTGTAAAATAAGGGGTCAGTCTGCAGGTTCCCTTCAGTAATAAAATAGTGTGTGAACCTAGACATTTTATGTGTCATATCAGACACTTGTTCCTTATTTCCATCAGTACTTACCTACTGATTCACATTGTTAAAAGTGCATTTCTTTGGACTTCCAACTAAACACGGTTAACTGAACACAAGCAGGTGCAACTATTCTAAATAATAATGTCTAACATTTATTAAGCCAGCTGTGGTTTTAAATGCTTTACACATCTTTGATCAGTGCTAAAAGTAGTCCCACTACTATTTTCAAAGAGGAGGAAACTAAGGCACAGAGAGATTAAATAACCTTCCCCAGTCTTACAGGAGGTAGGCTGAGAGTCCATGCTGCTATTCACAGTAAAAAGACTTAAAAATTTAAAAAAAAAAAAGGCTTAACCCAAGAAGGTCTAAGAACATGAAGGAGAACTTCAGAAAAAATATGAAACTGGAAACCTGGCAAAACGGCAGACCGAAGAAAGAGGACAGCTTCATCCGAGAAAGCCGACAGAGCCCACGTAACTTATGTCAGAGCATCTTGGGAGGGTCAAGACCTGAGGACCAACAGCCCTGAGGACGGTAGGGGTGGCAGTGGGGCTGAAATGGGAGCGTGGGGTGGAAGAGCTGATTTCCACGCAGGGGAGGAGCCGGCGAGGAGCTGCCCTGCGCCATCCCGGCAGGTGCACACAGGTGTGCTCTCAGGAGAGTCCAAACCAGAGAAAACTCAGACCTTGTGGCACCGGGCCCAGGTTGGGGGTGGGGGGTCAGATATTAAAGGAGGGGGATTCAGTAAAATTCTACACACTGAATGGCAGGACCCTCTTCCCCAGGCCGGTCCCCTATCTGACATCAAGCTAGAGCTGGCTGGCTGACTGTAACCCCCAAGCAAGAGTCTGGGACAGTGGTCTGGGGGAAAGGAACCATATTCCAAGAGAAAAACATACAGCAGCCCAAGGAATCTTCCTGCTGAGAAGCTTATCATTCAGTCCCTGGAAGACAGCCACGCAGACCTTCCGGTCACCTGATAATACGGGGCAAGAGAAACAGCAGATCCACATACCTCTCGCACGTGGATGTTTCTCTCCCTCTCTTTCTGCCTCCCTACCCCTCTCTCTAAAACAAGTAAATAAATAAAATATTTTTTAAAAATACAGAAGCAAATACAAGAAAAGCTAACAGGGCTAAAAGTGGTAGCCTGTGAAAATAAGTACTCCAGAGTTGGGAGGAATGGGGAAGGGACTAATTTTCTAAAGCTATGTACATTTATGACATTAATAAAATGAGAGTTGAATTTTAATAGCACTTTCGTCACTGCTCCCTTACGGGGAAGAAGACAGAGGAGGCCAGGCCTCGTGGGGCGCCAGCGGTGGCAAAGGAGAACCTCGTCTTTTTCACGTTTAGTTACACAAATAGGCCCCTTAAAATAACCAGCAGAGTCTGGCTCCCAGACTCCGGGCCTACCCTGGCAGATCTCAGAGCCACGGCCAGAAGGGTTTCAAAGGCAGCATGTTTTACGAGCACTGCACTGGAAATCTGAAGTCTCAGTGAAAATAAATCAGTCGAGACCAATTATCGAGCCCTGAGCCTGCACCTCCTCCTCTGGGACCGGCCGAGACTCTCTGGGCGGGTACCGTTCTTTCCTCCACCACACGAGCAGGCAAGTGAGACCTGGAGGGAGCGTGGGCCCTGTGAAGGCTCCCAGCCTGCGGAGCGTGAAATCCAAGCAACCCAATCCCACTTTTAATCGCTGTATTTCTCTGCCTTGCAATTCTTCAGCTAGATTAGCTGCGTTATTTGGCAAGTTCCTCACATCATCTGGGCCTGTTTATCTATAGAAGTAAAACTTTCACTAGACATCTCTTTGGAATGCAGAATTCTGGGATGGAGAACAACTTCCACATTCAGTTTAGAAAGGGTTATGTAAAGTAATAAGTAAACAAAAGAGGAATTTAATAAAATTCTTGCCCTCCAACTGAAAGAAAAATATAAAGAATATAGAGCTAATAAATAATGTGTGATATTGTTTCAGTTATATTTCTCTTCGGGAAGGAAGAGCCCCAGGGACGAGAGCCGAGGACACGGGATGGAGACCCTGGAAAGCCACCCAGGCACGTCCAAAATCACAGTCCTCTGTGGCCCGGAGGCCAAGGGCACAGACCCAGGGACCGAACTGTTTCGGGTCCAGTCCACCTGGGCCTCCTATTAGCTCCAAGACACCTGCTTCCTCTCCAGGTGCAACCACGTCCCCAGGGTAACCGTACATCAGTTTACATTCCCTGCCTGGAAGAAGGAGTAATAGCATCCCATTTAACTCCAAAGGGCTTCCTGTTTGAAGGCTAAGCTGTATGTTCACTCTAACTCATCGCTGAAATGAGAAAAACAACAGACCTATCTTTTAAAGTTAAGTAACAGCACTTCGGTTTTCCGGTCCAGCGTGCACAGAGCCCGGAAGTTGCCACTGTCTTCTAACAAATAAGAAGCAGAACACACCAGAAAATCAGCACCCTTCTTAGTACTCATCAGAGAAGTGGGGTCACAAGGCATTGCCCCCCAAATCTGGAGAGGCAGACAGATGTACACAGACATTCACCATCCAGAAGCAGGAAAGTGAGGGAACCAGCATCCGGGTCGGAAAACCTGGACTCGGTGAACTGCCGGAGGTTCAGTAGGGAGGGACCCAGCCACAGGGAGGACTCAGGCACAGTGGGGACCCTGCTTTCAGGTCCAAGAGCTCGACCAGGATCTCACAGTGATTCTCTGAGAAAAACCCCTCCTGCTTCTGGCAGGGGGAAAAGACAAACAACCCGATTTTTAAAAATGGGAGAAAGACCTGAACAAATGCCTCTCCAAAGAAGACGGACAGCAAGTGTGTGCAGGAAAAGTTGCTCCAGATCACACGTCATCGGGGAAAAGCGAGTTGAACAACAGGGGGATGTTACTACACACCTGCTGGAGCCGCCCAAATCCCAAACATCACAACACCGAGTGCTGGCGAGGGCGTGGAACAGCAGGAGATCTCGGTCGCTGCTGGTGGGAGGGCAAGGAGGTGCAGCCACTGTGGAAGGGAGTGGGCGGTTCCTTACAGAACTAACCATCCTCCTACCCTGCAATCCCGTGGATGCCTCTTCAGTATTTACCTGAAGAAGCTGCAAACATACCCACGCAAAAACTTGGACACAGGTGTTCATGGCAGCTTTACCTACAGTTTCCAGAACCTGGAGGCAACCCGGGTGTCTGTCAGTGGGTGAGTGGGTAATGGACTGGCGCACACAGGCAGTGGACTGTCAGTCAAGGCTGGAAAGAAATGAGCCACCAAGCCGTGCGGAGATGTGGAAGGACCTTAACTGCCTACTACCGAGGGAAGGGAGCCCTCGGAAAAGACTCTGCAGGACTCCGAACGCATGACCCTTGGCAAAGGCAGAACTCCAGAGGCGAGAAAAGGATGGGTGGCTGCCAGGGGTGAGCAGAGGCAGGCAAAGCAGGGCACGGAGGATGTTCAGGCAGGGAAGCTGCTCTGTCCGATGCTCCAGTGGTGGCTGTGAGTCATTGATTCAACTTTTGCCCCAACCCGTCAAACGTACACCAAGAGTGAGTCTCAGTGTAAACCACAGGTGCTGGGTGATGGTGATGTGTCAATGTCTGTCCACCAACTGTGACAAATGCCCCATCCGCTGGGGGGTGGGGACAGTTGGGAAGGCTGCACGCGGGTGGGGACAGGACGTGTGTAGGAACTCTCAGTGCTCTCCACTCTTGTTTCCTGTGAACCTAAAATTGCTCTAGAAACTGAAGTCCATTCATTGAAGACAATCAAATACCAACACATGTAAAGTACTCGATATGTAAAAAACACTCAATAAATGAAAGTCGTCACCGCCCCGGCTTTGCCTCTCACCCCTTCTCTCACTCTGCCCCAGTCCTAGGCTCCAGTGACACACAGTGAGCTGTGTTCTCCGTGTGACCCTGCACTGTCATCTCTTCACCTCAAAATGCTACTCCCTCGCCTCCAAGTAGCCTCGCCTTCTCTTCTTTCCTTGGTCAACTCCTCCCATCCTCCAAAGTACCGCTCCGGCCTCTCCTGCGGGTCCTTAGTCAGGCTCGGTCAAGTGTACAAGGAGGGACCCCCCAAAACCCCAGAATTGTCTTCTGGAGGGTG